TATATATATATATATATATATATATATATATATATATATATATATATATATATTATATATATATATTATTTATACATATACATAATATGTAAATACGTATATATATATATATATATATATATATACTATATATATATATATATATATATATATATATATATATATATAATATATATATATATATATATATATATATGTATATAGTTATTCTAAATAAGAGATACAAACACATGTATGAAGTAAGATTATATAAGTTATAATATTGAGTTAATGCTATTTTGAAGTTTTTAAATTATGGTAAAAAGTATGATGTTACATAACAGAACTTAGGAACTGCATTAAGTAAACGATTTTTATTCCCGAAAACTTCCTACGATTATATATGTGGTTGTTGTGTTTGTATTGTCATCGTCTCATATATTTCTGATATTTATTAATGAGATTTCTTGTTCTGAAAAAAGTTTAGAAAAGAAAATGATGCATCGTGTAAAGTTTTTGGTCGTCAGTCGATGCAGAAACATCTGACAGCCAGTAAAATCAAACCACCACTAATAAGATGAGACTTTATGACAGCTACAAAACATTCCTTCGAAGTGATTAAAAAAAACAAAAAAACAAAAAAAAAAAAAAAAAAAAAAAAAAAAAAAAAACAGAGGGACGGAAATCTTAAAATGTCTTTCATACAAGCAGGGAAAAGTTAAACGGGCTTTTATAGTTATACATTTTTGACAATATGGTATACTTGGCAGGTGCTTGTGGGTCGATCCTTGCGTTGCAATATTTAAGCTAGAAGGTAGAAGTTTTTTCGTAGATTTTTCTTAAAGAACTAAGGTTAGGGTGAAGTGATTTGATTGATTGTGTTAAATTGGATGAGGTCACATGTTTCAAACTTCTGAGCTGGCTTCCTCCTCTTTGCTAAAGACTCATTTTAAAAGTGCGCGATAATCATTGCTAACAAAAGTATTTTTAATGTTCTTTTCAGTTTCCTTACTCTTTGTTTTTCAGAGTTTATTTAAATACTATAGTGAATATTATCCATTTTGTTGAAGCAGGTCGAAAAAAATTCAAAATCTTTTTGTAAGAACACGCCTTTTTTTCTTTAAATCAGATGTAGCATCAACACAATCCAATTACAATAATGAGAGGTTCTCAACCTGAAGTGTTCATATGCAAATGCTACTTTATACAGCTTTATTATGACAGTCCTTCTCCTATCATAAATACATCATATTCATATTATTTCATTATTATACTATTTCTTTGACGCGATGACAATGTCGGTATCACTTTCTCCTTTTTGCTAAGTTATCTTGTCTCCGTAGCGTGCGCACACAGTACTCCTCAGTGGATCTAAATAGATGTGTTATTACTGAGTATAAAATCAACAATTTGCTGTGTAACTAACCAGCACACCGTTTTCATTATTCACTTACACTATGAGATACTATATTTTTCCTTTTTAGTGATACATATTAAATGAGTTTTTTCTCAATAAATTCTTAGCTAATTTTAAATACATTACAAAAGAAAAAGCCTCGCCCATTGGGACATTATAAATCACCAAATCCTAGTCTAATTTTCCTTAAAATTCGTTGAATTATGAAAATCGTAATTTAATACACAGTCTTATTAAAAACAAATAAACGAATAAATTACATGATGTTCCATTATTTCGGACTTGCTGTTGTCTGACAATAATTCATTCTGTCAGAGCTTAGAAAGGCTGGGTCAGTGAGGAAAAAAATAATATCTACTCAGTTATTGCCATATGACACACAACAAAGAATAGATTGTTCGATTAGACACAAGCTCACTTAAAAAAAACAAAACAAACAAACAAAACAAAAACAAACCAGAATAATAATACATTATCTATTACTAACCCTACACCAAAATCCCTATACCATATTACACGTTCTAAAAGCTAGGTAAGTACAGATTATTCTTCCCATCGTGTATAGGGATTCTGCACAAGACCGATCACTCGTGTTGGCAACCGCGAAGTCACAGGAATTTTGCAGACAAAGAGGAGCCAACTTCTCTCATAAAGGCCTGTGACAGATGTTTTACGATCCATGAAGAGCGTTTGGCAGCCGCAGGAAGAGGTCTTCTAACTAGGAGAAAAGATTCATATTGATGCATAGACTTGGAGGTAAGAGATCGAGAGAACGTGTGTGTGTATATATATATATATATATATATATATATATATATATATATATATATATATAATATATATATATATATATATATATATATATATATATATGTATATATATATAATATGTATATGTATACATATACATATATATATACATATATAAAATAAATAAATATATATATACATATATATATATATATATATATATTATATATATATATATATATATATATTATATAATATATATATATATATATATATATACACAATATATATCCTATAATATATAACGCCCATACATGCATATTAACACACACACACACACACACACACACACACACACACACACACATATATACATGCACACATATTTACACATACATACATACATACATATATATATATATATATATATATATATATATATATATTATATATATATATATATATATATATATATATATATAGATATATATAGATATAGATAGATAGATAGATAGATAGATACATAAACCGTTAGCACTTGTTGGAGGATCCTCCAGAACTGCAGGGTGTGTAGGAGTGCCGAGTTCTGTGGTACTGACCATAGATTGGTTGTGGCTATCCTCCGGGCCACTCCAAAACTCTAGGGTGTTTCATTTGGACAGGCTGAGGGAGTGGATGTGTGCCCGGGACACAGAACTCGTAGAACTCGGTTGAGAAAGGACAAGGAACAGTTTATTAGGAGTCTTGCTGAGGAGGTTGAAGGCCATTTCTTAGTAAATGACCTCCGTCCTGCATGACAAGCCCTGAGAAAGCTGAACTCTCAGCCCTCTTCACAGGTGACTGCAGCCTGCTCAGCAAGTGGCTTGACCGTCTCAGATCCTGTTGCAGTGCGGGAATGTATTTTCAATGTAGAATGAGTATTTTGAGCAGTTTTACCAGGTTAATCCACCTACAGTTAACTTGGATGCGGGGAGTGCCGAGATTCCGTTGCCGGATCCACCCATTACTGAGGATCCACCCTTTCTAAATGAAGTTAAGGAGGAGATCTCCAAGCTGAAGAGTAGTAAAGCAGCGGTATTTGCGGCATCTCAGCTGAACTGTTAAAGGCTGGTGGTGAACCTATGGCGCGGGGGTTGCGTGCTGTCCTAGCTGCCATCTGGCGGTCCGGTACCGTTCCTCCTGACCTGTTGAGGGGTGTGGTCATACCATATATATAATATATATATATATATATATATATATATATATATATATATATATATATATATGTGTGGTGTGTGTGTGTGTGTGTGTGTGTGTGT